TTCCTTCAGTGGGTGGAGAATTTATACAGATTTTATTCATAGTATTGCATATGCTGATAGAGTAGTATCACATTTACTGTTCACAGAGTATTTGAATGAAATGGCTGTTATTTGCCCCTTTTTATAAAGAAGGATGTATTTCTGTAGTGTGTGCTTTAGAAAATTATTCTGATTCAGAATCTGGGTAGGGAAAGACTCAGTACCATGAGAAAAGGAGATGAACTTTGTTACACAGAGCTTTATTCATTGACTGAAGAACTTTTAGAAGGAAACTAAATATTGGGTCAAAAGGAAGGTTTTAGGGTAATATTTATTTGAATTATATCTTGGATTAGCTTTTCCTAATTAAAACCATTTGGCCTTTCCACCAACTTGAAAACTTAAAAATCCAAGACTGATTCAAATTTTGTGTGTGGTATTTTGCTAGGATCTGTAAATAACTGACTAAAAAACCCATCTTTTTGTATAGATGCTGTTGCTGATACAAAGAAGTCTCTTGAACTCAATCCAAATAATTCTACTGCTGTGCTGAGAAAAGGGTATGCAATAACTACTCTTCTTGTTGGGCTTGGACTATGTATAGGAGGTGTATAATTTGTTGAATTAATTGTAAGCTTTATGTAAATGTAAATTCTGTATTTATACATTTTATGGCTGAGAATATGATTCAATTTAAAAAATAACTTACAATTCTATTATTATGGTAACTGCAGTATGTAATAGGAGATCTATAGTTAGTGTGCTTTAAAATAGTGATGATTGAAGTAACTGCAAGGTATTGAAACTTGTAGATTTCACATCTCTTTTGTTCAACATTTAGAATTTACTATGTTTAACTGACTAGAGAGTGTCCTGTTCCTCACCCAAGCTGGATAAGCTACATTTAATGCTGCGAAAGCTCTATATTTGTGTACTTTGTATCCGAGCTTGTTTCTGTTGATAAATGTGAATTTATAAAGTAAGAAACTTGTTTAATTCCTTCATATAATTATATTTTGGAATAAGCGAGTACATACAATTAAAATCAAGTACTTGGGCTGGCCAGTTAGCTCATTGGTTAGAGTGCAGTGTTATAACACCAAGGTCAAGGATTTGAATCCCTGTACCAGTGCCTGTCCCCCTCCTCCTGCCAAATTTTCTTTCTGAAGTGAGTTCCAAAATTGTGTTTTAATTAGAGTTGTACTAGATATTACAGTATTTTTGAAATACTCTCGGCTTATTAACATATACTGAAAATAAATTTTTTTTTCAACAATAGAGAATACCAAGATTTTTTTTTTTTTATTTAGAAAGAAGGCTGTTTTCCATGATCTCATGTTGTATGTTAATTTGTTTTTAATATGCTTGTGCAGGATATGTGAATACCATGAAAAAAACTATGCTGGTGCTCTGGAAACTTTTACAGAAGGACAAAAATTAGATAGTAAGTGTTAGAATTATACTTTAATAAACTAATGTGTTATTTCTGTTTTAAATCCCAGAGCTGAATTTGGTTCATGTAATCTTAAGTTAATTGTAGAAACCTAATAACTTTTTTCCTCCTCTTAATGACATTTTGTATTGATTGCAGAATTTGAGTTCACTTAAAAATTGATTGAATTGGCCTTTCTTTAGCATTTAAATCACAGATAAACTTTACCGTCAGAAGCCAGAAACTATAAACACTGAATATGCTCTCCTTACTTAGTCTGGCTTCATTTTTTTCTAATGGAGAAGTGAAAGTTTAATTGGCTTTCTTGTTCAGAAGTCCATTCATTTAAAATTATTATTCAGATTGCCAAGATGGGAAATCATACATCAAAGTTTTTTATGGAGAAGTGAAGTGTAAGTTTAGGTAAATTATGAGAGGGTACAGAAGAAACATGGAGCTTTGAGAGTATTGTGAGTTTTTAATATCTTTTTGAGAGGAATTTATAAAAATTATCAGAAGCAATACAGATATTTGCATACACGTATAGAAATTGTGAGAGCCAAGAATTTAAAAATCTGCAAAATACTAAAAGATGGAGGTTGTGAGTAATCTTGTAGGAAGTTACATACTATCTAATCCTAATTGAACTGTCATTTATCTTTAGGTTAAGATAGAGTGCTATTGCAATTCTCTAAAGCATTGGTTGTTAATTGGGAGTAATTTTGCTTTCTGGGGAAATTTTGGCAATGTCTGAAGAGATTTTTAGTTATCATGAATGTTAGGTGGGCGATGCGCTACTGACATCTAGTGAATAGAGGTCAGATATGCTACTAAGCATCCTGTAATGCATAGTATGGTCACAAGGAAGTATCTGGTCCAAAATGCCAGTGGTGCTGATGTTGAGAAACCCTGCTCTAAAGTATTATATATTATATTTTTAAAAACTTACTGCTTGGAATATTTTGAATATTTTCTGCTGTATTTGTACTCAAGA